TGAATTAAATTAAATTTATTAAAAATAAATTAAGAGAATACAACTGTAGTATTTACCTATTTAATTATTCTATTGCTTGCTTTAATGATTTTTCTTTAGTAATCTAATCCAGACATCGTTTTTTCAAAATAGGCAATGGAGTAGTAATCCAGAGACATCTTGTTCCGTGTAATTGTAGAGAACATGGAAGCATTACGCGTCTACATATGCCGCATTTTAAAGCTCTTTCGTGTAAAAGCCTATACTTTTTCTTTTTAATTTCCCATTTCTGGCATTCCTTCCTTCATCTTTGTTGCTTCCAGGTAGAGTTCAATTTTTTCACAAGATCTGTTGTGCATTGCTGATTATCCCTAAACAAAGAGAAAAAAAAATGAAACCTTTAGCCTTTAGTGTTGCTGATGTGATGCTCTCCGCCCTCATCAGTTTTATTTCTGATCGATTGTCGGCTTCCGAGTTTCTCAACTTTGCTCGAAAGGAGCAGTTTTTGTTCCAACTCAACGTGTGGGAGAATCTTCTGCCCAAAATCAATGCCCTGCTCCATGACGCACTGCAAAGCCACAACGCCAGTCATGGCCTCAGACTCTGGCTCTCTGATTTAAGAGACCTTGCTTACGATGCTGAAGACATCATTGATGAAATTGACACCCAATTTGGCACCACCAGCAAGGTGTTGAGCTAGCCCTCCCAAGTTGGGTGGCTCAACAATGGAGGTGCACCTTGAGTGCATGGCGCATGGCAAGAAACTTGGAAGGTTTGGTTTTGAAGATGAACAGTGGTTTCCGATGCGGACTTTTCTTATTGTTGAAGAAATGGGAAAAGCAAAGTGGACTCCTCCAAGTTTGGATATGCTGACATGTTAGTCCCTGATAGGATAGTGTTACACTATTCTTGTATCCAAAAGCTCCCTATTTAATCTCTTGTTTAAAATTTGAAAAGAGTGCATATTGGTGTGAGCGTGAAAAACAGAGGGAAAGCAGTGCAGAAAAAAAACAGAGTGAGGTTGAGAGAAAATCTCCCTTGTTGGTGTTAGAACTTTGAGATATTCGGATTATGATCCGAAAATTGTAATCCATTTTCAGTAGTGGATTGATTTTTCATCTGGGTAAGTGCCCCGTGGTTTTTCCCATTTGGGTTTTCCACGTAAAAATTCCGGTGTCCTCTTTATTTTAC